CAGTGCGGTGCAACAATGAATGGATCCAAGAGTACGTTGACCGCATCTAGCAAGATGCTCACCATGGCTTATTGAAACGGTGTCCGGCCAAATTTGTATACACTTTGCCATTAGAGGTATTGAATAATATCTCTTACAAGTTTTTATTATCTTTTATCTTGAATATACTGTGCAAAGGAGTTGACACATCCTTGCTGGCCAAATTCGTGGATGGTGTGGTGGATTGATTTAAACGAGATCTATGTAAGCAGGTTCTACAGTAATATGCAAAGAAATCGATTTATTCTTGTTCGTCAGATTCGGATAGTTTTACGCTTCAACAATAAAGGGCCCTTGCCGGGATGGAAATTCGTCACAGCCAATTCAAGCGACGTCTACCCGTCCTCGTTTCAGAGGTCGATTTTTTATGTCACTGATCTCGAAAAGTAGCTGCGCTATTCCACCGTCCTTGGTAATTTCAATGTATCCTCTATTGAATATTAAGTGCAGAGGTGTAGGTAGGCAGGATATATGTCTGCACGATTAATACGGTCCAGTTCTGTCTTGCCACTGGTTGTATTTTCTCTTTAAGGACTAATAAAGCTCGCTATGGTCCAGTTCATATCCTATTTTATCAAGACTTACGACGTCGGCCAAAGCACCAGATGCCAGCCTCAATTTTGATTCATGATCATTCTTGTCATAAAAAAAATGTATTATATGGTTTTTGCCGACAACCGTTTGAAATTTATAGAAATTTTGTGTTGTAAATCACTACTTTGATAGGATTCTAATAACTCCGCCATTTTATGGTTACGAATTAAATGAAAATGATTTACAACCGAAGCAATAATAAATAATTTAACAACTATGTGGATTATCACCCACTCGAGTAGTCAACTTATCAACATTTTAAGAAAAGTATATTTTAGGAAGAAAATTTTATGAAAAAATGTTCAGAGCCGGAATGTCTAGGACAAAAGGAATTATGAAAAATGGATTCAGAAACATATCCTACCACCTTACATAAAATAATCTTATGTTAATTAATATAAAAATCTAAATTATTTTCCATAATTGATTAATTTGAATAATATATACAATAAACAGCATGTGATTACAAAAAATACTGTAAATATGCTTATGCTCATGATAAGCTTTGGCCTGTAGCTGCCAAGCAAATATGATATAGATCTTTATTCATCAAGTTGCTAAGGACACTTTCTTTACACTCGAGTGGCAGTCGATAGTGTATCAGTACAGGTCCCAGTGCCCAACGCTGGAAAAATCCCCTAGACATCATCTCGCACAAATGCAACTCACAAGCCTCTTTAACATCTTCGGGAACATACGGAAAATCATCATATTCCGCAAATTTAAAGTAGTCCTCATATGTGAGACGTTCGGGACGCATCGGAAGATGTTTCGCCAATCCGACGAACTTTTCGTTGTCGTACAAACGTCTTTCACGATTCGACGGCTTCTCGAACAAGTCGTGCTTAGCGAAGAATCTCATGATCGTCAGGGCCTCGTCTTGGTTGAACTCGTATCCTCTGTTCTCGAGATTTTCAGCGATCAACAGCAAACTAGCCGCCATCCTCAATTTAAAATTTTTGTAAATAGTACTGAACACTCGCCCATCGAATCTCTCGTCGAAGTCACTCGCGGTTGGAAACACGAAGCTGGACGGATCGGCCCCGTGATCCAAGAGTATATCGACCACACGAGGCACGAGATTTTCCACGGCCTACTGAAGAGGTGTCCTGCCCAATGTGTCCTTGACATCGAGCTACGCCAGCCGAGGAAACATCGCCAACAACTCCTCTTGACTCGAGGCTCTCTCGCAAATCAAGTGCAGTGGTGACTTTCCTTCCTCGCCAATCAAGTTCGGATTGGCGCCTCTTCTCAAAAGCAATTCGACCACTCTCTGGTTGCCGTGCTTAAGAGCCACGTGCAGTGGTGTATTATGCCACGCATCCCGAGCATCGATTTGCACCGTCAACTGTAGATCGTCGCAGATCTTGAAAAAAAACGTCGCCAAGTCTTCATTTTCGGTAGAGGCAATAATGTGTACAGGAGTCATTCCATAAATGTTGGATGAATTGACGTTGGCGCCGCGCTTCAGCACCAATTCAATCAAACTCCTGTTACCGTCTTCCACAGCCAAGTGCAATGGCGAATCTCCTGATGCTGGCCATGGATCTTTTAAATCCACCCCGTGGTCGAGGAATTTCTTCGCGACATCGCCAAAGCCAAACTCGCAGGCCACATGGAAGTGACTTACCCCCGTAGACTCGTCGACGTAATTCACGTCACATCTGTTGTAAATTACAAACAGATCTTTCAAGACGTCCTTATCAGCCGCGTAATGCACTGCGGTGGTGCGGTTGCCGTCCTCATTATGTTTCAATCCGTCCTTGTAGCCACTTCTGGCCACGGATTTTATAAATTGGACGGATTCCTTGGTTAATTTTTTGGCGGCCTCCAATAGAAGCCAGTCAATTTCTTCGGGCTGAAATACTTCGCGGAAAATTGGAAGCTGCACCAACCAATCGCTCGTCAAGCTATAAAGTTGAAGTCGGAGTCCGTCGCGCTCCTCTTCAGTCTTTTTTTCAATCGCTGCTTTTAATTCTTTTATTTTGTCAAATCGCTCCATTATGTAGGCAGGATATGTCTGTACGATTAATACGGTCTAGTACTGTCTTGCCACTGGTTGTATTTTCTCTTTATGGACTAATGCTGTTTGGGTGCTGAAAAAGATAACACAAATTAAGTAATGGTATATGACACTGGCTAAATACTGACTTCCAGTATCTAGCCAAAAAAAGAAAATTAAGGGGAGATATACACCAAATTTGACCCAAAAATCGATTTTTTTTATGCTTGCTTTCGATTTTGTGACATTTGAAGTATCATTTCCCAAACTTTTAGCCCTCAAAACAAATTATTTATGTTATTATAATGTGCGTAAGCCATATCATGTCAAGTCTCGAATGGTTCGCCCGCGCGGCATTATTAGGCGAAATTTCACCATTTCTAACTCGCTGTAAAAGTTACTGAATGCACATAAAAGAAAAAGTAATCTACTACTTCGATAGGAAATGATCTCAGCGTTCTGATGGCGGGGTCAAATTTAAAAAAATTTTCCATTTTCTTCGGGAAAATTGACGGGAAACTTTTAAAGTCGAATATCTCGAAAAGGGCATTTTTGAGGCGTTCGGCTGCCAGTACTACTGCTATTAGTGCTGCCTCTGGTGTTCAAATCTGAGAATCAAATTTGTAAACAAAAAGCTAGCCTCTCTTATATAGCAGTATTGAACTGCGCCAGCAGAAGTAGCAGAAAGATTAATTATGTTGCTCATGTGAAGATTTAATTGATAAAAATGTCACATGTGCAACTAAAATGTCAATATAAATCAGCTGTGCAATGAGGCTGTGTGAGTGATGTTTTATAGTTTGATAATTGAAGTTATTTTGGTAGAGTGAATTTTGTAATAAAAGTTTAAAGTATTTTATTACCTTGGAGAAAAATAAAGATTCTTAATTTTTTTTAGTTTATATTGTTTCTCAGTGCTGCAGTGTAGTGATTGATTTGCAGTAAAACATATCTTCTTACAAGTGATATAGTTAAATTATAATTTAGATTACAGCATGTTTTATTTTAGGAAAAGACATTTGAAATAATAATGTTCAAATACAACTTTCAAATCTAAAAGATTTGTACTTAGTACTTTACAACATGCAGCATTGAGAAACTGAATGCACGCATGATGCCTGAATTTTATGTGGGTTGAGTGAAGTTTACATAGAAACAAATCAGTGAAATGATGTGAAAAAGCTCAAATTAGTCTGAGAATGAGTAAACTGTGAGTGAGTTTTATATGTGGGCCACTGAGAATGTGTAGTGAAAGATTTCAATGTCTTAAACATAAATTCTTTCTTTTGCTTCTCCTGGAAAGTCAAATTTAGAAGAACCAAATTGGTGTATGACTCCCCTTAATATTAGCAATTAGAAAATTGATAATAATTTTTCTCATTTAATGCTGGATAAATAAGATTGGGAATTTTATTATAATTAACTATTCTCTTTAAAAAGAGCTCTTTTTAACGAAAAACCATTACAAATTTGTAATTGGTTCTAGCATGATTTTTCTGAAAGCTTACACCTAGGAACACTTAATGTAAAAAGTTAGACAAGATTAGATGGGTGGATCATATAAATAATTGTAAAAAACCGTTGTTTTTTCAGAAAACGAATTTTACCGAATTTCAACTTCAACTCCTGATATCTCCAATACAAGAGTAATCAATGTTTTTGAATGAAATTTTGAGATAACACTCATAATATGTGACTGGTGTGAGATATTATTTTGAAATGTCATTAAATTGTTTTTAATTTTTTTTGAAAAAAAAAGGAAGAAATTGTACAGAAAAGTGATTCCTTATCTTATCTAGTCGTATCTCATATATTCTCATCTATTGCTATATCTATTATCTTATCTATTACTTCATCTATTATCTTATCTATTGTTTTATCTATTATCTTATCTTACTATTATTTTATCTATAACCTAACCTATTATATTATACACGTGGTTCTATAGATACGAACTTTAATCCATACATTCCACGAGGTATTTGGACTACTAAAAGAAAATTATCGCAACGAAATTTGTCAATTTTTAAATGCTTCTATCGTGGTCTATTTTTATCGTATGGAAACGAATTTTTTTTTTGATATCTAGGAAATTTGTCTTCTCTTTTGATTCATATTTATTGTGCATGGGATCAAAACACGTGTTTTTCCGACTTGGCTCGAACTCTACATTTGAGTCGTGTCCCTGTTTAAAAAAATCGCTGGATTTCCAGTTGAAAAATCTAGCAGGATTTGACTGGAAATAGAACCCGATTCGACTAGAAATCTAGCTCGATTTTTTACTGGAAATCCAGCTCAATTTTCGATCCGAAATCCAGCTCGATTTTTAAACTGAAATCCAACTTGATTTTTGACTAGAAATTTAGCTCGATTTTGGACTGAAAGTCGATCGATTTCAGATCAAAAATCAAACTAGATTTAAGGCCAAAATTCGAGCTGGATTTTCAAAACATGAGCTAGACTGGATTTCCAGTAAAAAATCGAGCTAGATTTCCAGTCAAATACAGCTCGATTTCTAGTCAAATCGAGTTCGATTTCCAGTCATATCCTGCTCGATTTTTCACCTGAAAATCCAGCGATTTTTTTTAAACAGGGAAACGATTCAAATGTAGAGTTCGAGCCAAGTCGGAAAAACACGTGTTTTGATCCCATGCACAATAAATATGAATCAAAAGAGAAGACAAATTTCCTAGATATCAAAAAAAAAATTCGTTTCCTTACGATAAAAATAGACCACGATAGAAGCATTTAAAAATTGACAAATTTCGTTGCGATAATTTTTTTTAGTAGTCCTAATACCTCGTGGAATGTATCGATTAAAGTTCGTGGAAATCCAGCGATTTTTTTTAAACAGGGTTACCTTAGAAAGTTAAAAAAGCTTACTTACGAACTTGTAGATTCTCTTTTTAGTCGCCTCAAAAAATTCCTTTTTGCGTTTAGAGTTTCCTTTTCCGAAAGTTAAAGACTCGGTGTAGAAACGTATACTGACTAGACCGCACGCTATAGCTATGAGCAGCGTTGTCAAGAACTCGAACCAACGATCAGCTGATCGCCGCTCGACTCCACAGGCCTCGCTGTTTTACCACGCGAGGCGGCGCTGCCAACTTAGATTATATATAATATATTATACAAGGTACTAAGAATATATAGCAATTAAGTATGGCAATTAAGTAATAATTTTATTTTGCATCTTAAGATTAGAATAAAATTATAATAACAATTTTTTTGCGATTTATAATTTTTTTATAATAAATAAATCTCATGTAATCTACTCAAAAATAATACTTTGTTTTATTTATATACAATTCCTTCCTATGAATTATTACAGTGTGAAGCAAGAAAAAAATGTATAAGAATAAAAATTATGTTTACTGTTAAAACTTTTTAAAATGAAATGTTAAATTCATTGTCGTTTATTCCGTAACCCGTGGAAAGCGCGCGTACCAGAGTGGAGGTAATCCCAGAAAACAACAACAAAGTAAAAAACGGCAAAACACACAATCAGAGAAAAGTTAGTTTTTATGAGTGATACATATTGGTGATTAGTTGATTAGTTGATATTTATTGGTGATCAGTTGATATTTATTTTGTCCCTGTCATAAATTAAGTAAGTATACCATGGCAATAATGCAATGTTTATGTTTTAATCGTGTCATGGGTCGGCAACTCGTATTTTGAGACCTGCTTTTACCCGTTGGCTCTCCTATTGTGAATGTTTGCGGAGCATTCTTCGTAAATGGACGCTCTTATTATCTTATTTTAAAAAAGAAGCCCAAAATGCCAAAGACGAAAAAGCGATTGGAATTTACAATGATTTGAATAATCCATTAAGTGAATTGTATATCAAATTTTTATACTTTGTGTTGTCAAAATTCACTAACGTAAACGAAGAACTCCAATCAGTTTCGACAGTTTTTACCGAAGACAAAGATTTGATGAGCGATTTATATTATAAATTACTGTCATTATATATGGACCAAAATTACTTGTTAAATACTCCTCTCTACGAAGTTAATCCAAATGGTCCAGAGCATCTGCAGGACAAACATCACATCACCGTTGGCTTTGAGTGTTTTAAGCTCTTGAATAAAGATAATATAAAAATTAATGCAGAACAGAAAAAAGATTTTTTCGATTCGGCCTAAGAATTTCTCATTAGTGCATGTAAAGAACTAAAAAAAAAGTGCGATGATTTTTGTGCCAACCAATTCACTTTTCGGCCAACTCTTCACCCAATGAATGCGTTGAGCGAGAGTTATCATTTAAATAACGCGCCAAATTTGGACAAAATATTCGAAGTTTATCCTCAGTTTGTAAAAACGGACGGTTTAAAGAAAGCTATAAATGAGCAATGGAAGTTGCTCCTGTCAACAAAATTCGATGAACACATAGCAAGTGAGAGGAATATTGACTCGTTTTGGACCAAGTTGACCGAATATGAAAACGCCGATAATGATAAAATTTTTAAAGATTTATGCAATTTTGATAATTGTATTTTGCTACTGCCAAATTCCAATGCGAGCGCCGAAAGGCTGTGGAGCAAATACAACTTGGAAAAAACTAAACTAAGAAATCGACTGAAATTTGATACCATGAAAAATCTCATTTTTGCTACTCAACTAGCGACACATATTCGGGAAAGTACAGTTCCATTTAAATTGACTGATAAAATGATCAGTGCTATCCTTGCCTCGAAGATGAGCTTACTTATAAGAAAAGACGAGGACCAAAGGTCAATCATTTAAACAAACCTTCTTCCCAAACTCGTAACGGTATTCATATTTTATAATTAAACATTTCTCTATATTATTCCTATAAACTATATGTTACTGTTATATGTACTGTTCATTTACATAGATACGTCACTTAACTTCAGTATAGTTTCCGAAGAAAATAAAAATTCCGAACTGGAAATTAAACAAAATTATCTATTTAACGACGCTTCAATTAACATGGGTATTTTTTTCACTACTTCACTAGCATAATTTATTTTTTTTATA